ATACTACGTGTACATAAACGTATATACTTATATATACCTGCGTATATGTACATACGTACATCGTCGCACAGGCACAGAACCACAGCATGCAGCACAGAAAGCACGTTCTCCCTCACCATCCGTTTTCTCAAAGTACCCGCGCAGGCTGGATGTACAGCTTGATCTGGACGTGTCCCCATCAAGGTCTTCATCTGCCTGGGATTCTGGGTTCTTGCTAGGGGATTTAATTGAAGATCAAGAAACCATATCATTTTACTATAGATCCCCATATTATGGTAACTTAAATTAAATTCCTCAACAAGAACCCAGGATTGTGGAGCGGCTGGCAAAAGGGTGCACTGGGACACCGGCGCTTTGAGTCGCAGCCAAAGCCATGGCAGCCTGGTCGATGCAGGACGGGGTCTTTCTGAAAGTAAGGGTTTGGGGTTTAGGGTATAGGGTCAAAGTGCTGAAACTACTCCCTAAGGGTCCAAGTGCCCATTATTTAAGGACTTTGGCCTTTATGGGTACCTAAGACCATAAATAAGGACTACTTGGACCCTTAGGGACTGGCATCGTTCATTTGAGCGTGTTTGTTCAGACTTACGCCCCAAAAACCAGGACCGACTGCAGTCCGTAAGCCCTTATGGACCAGCCAAGAGTTGTTGCGATTCGGACCTAGACCCTAAACCCTAAACCCTAAACCCTAAACCCTAAACCCTAAGCTGTCGCGCTGGCATCAGGCCGGCAGGAGAAAGCACCCGCGACCGACAAGGCTCCAGGGTTGACCTGAAAATCTAAGCCATCCTGGTGCCCTTAAGGTGGCATAGTGTTTAGGGGACAAGGGCCTTTCAGTTGAGGACCAGTGCGCCTAGGAGTAATTGGCACATATCCTGACGCGAAATGGCTGCAGAACAGAGTTGACATGACGACGGCCTCAAGTGCACCGACGAATTAATTATTCGAAATTCTCCCTGGCCTGCTAGCTGGCACATCAGTCATCACCAGTCAACCCTTAGAATTCGTTAAGTTCGACCCGAAAGTGCGCAAGCCAATGGCTTGCGAAAGTCAATATCACTCTGAGCTCGTTTTCTCAATAAAGGAAGTCTCAGAAAACCACAAGAAGTCGATGCGCTTCAGCAGTGCGGATATTCCGGCTGTCAGGGGATCCAGTGTTCCGAAACCTAAAACCCAAAACTAAACTCTCAAAGCCTTAACCCCTCAGTTCCAGGCGCACGCTGGGATCTGCAGAAAGATTGTGGGGGCGGCCGTCCAAGGCCTGACTAATGTGGCGACTTGAGCTTTGTAAGGGTTTGGGTTTGTCAGGCTTCGGAGATAGAAACTTGAGTTTGCGAGTCTTGCCATTACTGGAAGAGGTGGCTCCTTGCCACCGGAGATGACATAGGACATAGGATTTATGGAGCTCATCTGACACTTCCAAGCCCCAAGCTTGCCCTTAACGTCCTCGCCAGAAGCACCGCTTAATAGTCGAACATCGTTGCGTTGCTACTATTTCTGAGGGTTTGGAGCTTGTACATGAACTGTCCCCATTGTCTACAAAGGACTGTTGGGGAATTGAAATCCTTGAACTAGTGTTTACGTTTGGGCATTGCGGCTGATGGTGGTTGTGGAGGCAGCGACGACAATCATGATGGCGCCGGGTACCATAGCGTCTCGTAATTCTACTTGCAAATGTGCTGATTGCTTTTCGTTATGACTGCGTGGCTTCTGCCTGCTGTAGACATATTGCAGAGGCAACAAGTTCTCTGTTCCATTTAGTGATTCCAAATGAGGTAGCCGCACCTAGTTCTGCAAAGAGCATGAGTACATGTATCGCGGGTGCTCCGTTCATGCCTTTGCAAGCGGCAGCACTCGTCGTAGTCACAGCTGGTGGAGGTAGCGGCGGGGCTTTGTCTTCTTCTTCGCTAGAATCGTAACCCTTTGCATCGTCAGAACTTGTCGCAAATAGAAGTTGTTCGCCTATCTGTGTACATTCACAAGCCATGGTTCAGGAAGGGGGATATAACAGCCTGGCACAGGGTTTAAAGCCTTGAGAGGTGACGTCATGGAGGTGCAAAGTCTTCTCCACTTTGCGACGGAGGAGGACACTTGCTTCTGGCGAGGGGGCTTTGAAGATTGCGGGGCCTTGCGAGCTGCATGCTTTCGGCCTTCCCAAAGCCCTCAAAAGTTCCATGTTCAAGACAGGAGCAGACAAAGTCTTTCAGTCGGGTTTCGGACTGTACATCTTGAGATCCGGTTTCCAATTGGGCTTTTCCCCAACCTCAGCCTAGAGCCCACAGTCCCCCCTCAGGACAAGGAGCTGGCACTGATGACGGCGGTGAGGTACGGCCGCGCCGAGGCTAGCTTGTATAAACTTTGTTGTAGCACTGTACTACTATGCATACTGTATCATGCTGCACTATAATGTCTTGTGTGCTTTACGACATCAAGTCATGTCACACTATAGCGTCTCAGCTGCAGAAGAGAGAGGGTCGAGCTTTCCTTTCACAGAGCATTGAACGCTCCGAGATGCTTTGACGGCTCGTCACAGTTCTGGTCTGTGGTGTTGTGCGATCCAAAGATTTGGGACTGAAGCCAAAGTTTCGTTCAAAACCTCAAGACGAAAACCCTCCAAGGCTATAAGGTACAAGGCGTGGTGTGGAGCTGGGGCTGTGAAGTCATTGTCAGCTATCCTGCCTGGGAAGGTTTGCACGCTGCTCCTGAAGGGGCGCATCAGTCTTCGTTCCCCAGGAGGCTCATACCATTTGATAATGAGGCTTAAGTTAGCCTTAAGGTTGAGGCAAGGATGGGATACTGTGGACTTAGGCCCGGGGCTTGTTTAGGGCTTCGAGGCGTACGGTGGTCGCTTAAAAACATTAGGTCACTCCAAAACCCGAGGCCGTCCTGCAACGAAAGCTCCGCAACTCCAACTCGCACTCCCGATAGCTGCTGCCACAACTGCTGCTAGAAGGTAAAGCTTGGATCCAGTCTCTGCCAGGAAACAGACCAGGCTGTCACGACAAGTTCAGAGCCCGTCCGCTTCTGCTGTATTGCAAGCCAGGACTTGGCCGCATCGCTTTGGCCTCGGCCTGCCTGTACGGCCATCGCTACGTGGCGCGTTGCCTGCTGGAGCACGGAGCCCTCCCACAGCAGACAGACGAATATGGCCGGCTGCTTGGGCGGAAATTCCTTGAGCAAGAGACCGACAAAGCAGCACGGCCTTCGAAGGCAACGGTCTTGGGGAGAACTCATGGAGAAAAGCCTTATCGCAACTTATCGCCGTCATCTTTGCCTGTGTTGGAAAGATGACTTCATACATTGACTATGGTTCAATGCTACTCATTTCCGAATTGTTGAACTCAATTCCGGTGAGGTCACGGTCCGCTTTGGTAGTAGCTTTAACCACGACCAGACGTGCTGCCACTACTGCTGCTGCTATACGAATATCATCACCGCCGCCGCTATCACTACGATGAGTACTGCGACAGCGACGACGACGATGTCGGCTAATGCTCTACCAGTGCTCCTGTCAAATGTGCAGTCCCTCCGCTTGTTTTGAGCCAGTTGTTACCGGCATTCAGACATTCAGACTGCTGCCATGTCTTCGCAGGCTCTCTTTGTGTTTCGATCTCTATGTCCCGGGCTTTTCGCTCACTCCCGCTCTTCCGGTATCTGTGTATTTGTCTGTCCACGCACCTGCCCTCGGTACATGTTGTGTGGCGTGTACAGACGACAGCTTAGAGGCTTAGAGGCTTAGAGCACGCAGGTCCCACATCCCAAGTCCGAACAGGGGCCTGGAGCCTTGAAGCCGGAAGCCCGCAAAGCTCCCTCAGACCTCTGGTATTCCGACTTTTCCCTGGGGGTTGTAGTGTAAATCGCCTGTCTTTCGTGTGTGGCTGCACTCCAAACCTTGAAGCACTCAAGTGCCGTGACCTCATGAGGCATGTCCGAGTTGTGAGAGCTTGTCTCTACCCATAAGCCCCACAGTAGTTCCTCTTTGGGGTTCATATTTAGAATCCTATAAGGTAATCCCAAAGAGGAACTACTTTGGGGCCTATGGGTAGACCGACTCTACCCCCTGAGCTCCTCCAAAGCCCGAAGTGGCTCTCTCTCTGAGGACTGCCCTTCACCTGGTACCTTGGCGGCTGCTAGATTCCAGCTGTCGTGCTGATCATCGGGACGACGTGAGAAGTCACGACAGCGGTTGTGTTGTGGATGAGGGGTTTGAGGGCTAATGTTGTCCAGGATTGTCTCGGGATGTTTTGTCATCCAATAAACTTTGCGGTCTGGCCAGCAAATCAAAATTATTCGTTCGCCGGCAGCTGTACTGTGGATATGGATGCCGAACTCTTCATACGAGATCCCAGACTCTCACCTCCGGGACCCTAAATCCTGTCGTTGCAAAGCCGACTTTCTCTGAAGCTTCTGGAGGCATTGTCTTCATGGTTGACTTCAAGTTGTTGGCGCATAGGTTGACGGAGATCCATGTAGAAGTGCTGATCTCATGGTGCCAGCCCAAAGTCGGGTGGTGGTGCACATGCCCACGGCTGTCGGGTGTAGGCCTGGGAGGTAGGGCTGATACAGCAGCCTAGTAATTCGTAGTACGAATCCTCACGGTTCCGTGTCACAGACCCCAAACCCTATTCTTTCTAGCAGGGCCCTCTTGCCCTAAACCCCAAGGCCTAAACGCCCTAAACCCTATTCTGCAGAGCCTTGCCTGCCGTGTGCGAGAGTGAGAGGCGTTTTGTTCACCGGATGTCCTGATAGCTTCAGGCATGCACCAGCAGTGTGGGGATCGTGCGTGACCTGCTTTACTTCAGCCCGGCTCTCGTCTTCCTAAAGGCCGCCATGGTTCGGTGAAGGCATAGTGGGCTTCGGGGTTAGAGTCTGGGCTCAAGAGAGGCTTTAAGGCTTTTGGTTAAGATGGTGGGGGTCTTCAGGTTTCTGAGCCTCAGAGTTGCAAGTTGCAGCCCCATCTTCTGCGACAGGATAAACAGGGCCGCAACGCTCTCTTCCACGCCATGGGCAACAACAAAGAAGAGGAGAGGCTGGAGATTGTGATGCTGTTGCTGGAGAGGAAGTGCAGCGCTACTGAGGCGGGCTTCCGATTACTGTCAACAAGTCCACCATACCCAAAACTTAAAACAGCAATGCAATCGGCAGTAATGCATGCAGCAAGCCCCAACAACATCGGCAACAGCATAGCTAGTGGCCACATCACATCGTCCAAACCAAAGACACCAGCCAGCAACAATACCAGCTGCAAGGAGAGCAAGCGCAGCAGCAGTGCCAGCAGCAACAGCATTGTGGAGAAACCAGCCCTCACTCACATCTTAGGACCTGTCGGTGTTGAGTCTTGCTCTTGCTCTCTTAAGGGACACTGAGGTCCAGGTGCCAAGTCTGGAAGGTGTATCATCAGCCAAAGCCTGACAAGCTCCCGTACGCCTCTCGATGCCCTTGCGTGCAGGCGGACTGCTTTGGCCGGTCGGCACTGCACTACGCCGTCCAGAAAGGCCAGGTCTGCCTAGAAAGCGCCCACCACCCCAACCCAAACTCTCGAAGCTGGCGTATCCGATCGCGAATCTCAAAAACACATCTAAAGAATGTTGCTTGTCAGAATTGCTTTGAGATGTCGATGCTTCTGCCGCTTTTGTGGTGGAAGCCTGTGCTCACTCTAGAAAAACGGCAAAAATGCCCCACGACCGATGATAGCCCAACTTGCAGTGTTTCTTGCTTGAATAGAGATCCAACTCGGTTAGGCAGCTCTCGTGTTTTTGCGAAAAGTGATGGCCTGGTCTTAGCATTGATTTCACGAGTAAGCTTCGAACTCGGGTTCGGTGAACAACGAATGAAACATGCTCGGACGAGTTAATGTAGGGGCCTTACTAATTACCTATACTATTTTGGGTGTTCCTCATTATAACTATACTTTAATGGGCCCCTACATTACAACAGAAGCAACAGATGCAGTCCTGTCTGTAGCATCCTAGAAAGTTCACCAAGAGGCAGACTCATCTGGTCATCTGGTCTTTGCTTTGCCGCCTTCCTTGGATGCTCCCAAAGCTCTATAAACGGCCCTGCAGCTAGGTGACATGCGAGTGGTGACGCTGCTGCAGCGCACGGTTGACCAGGTCCAGCTTTAGAAAGTTTGTCTTCGAATCCCACGACTTCCCCTTGGCACCCTGGTAAGATAGGTCCGCATAGAGCCTACATAGGTGTTCAACCTTTATCGTCGAGTCCTTGGAGCTCGGGGGTTCAGGGTCTTGGGGGTGGTCGCGTCGAAGAACTTTCGAACATTTAGCCTAGGGTTTCGAGCTGAGGGTTTTTTCGTGTGTATGGTTGAGGGTTCAGGGAGGGTTTGGAGGTAACACGAGGTAACCACATGCAGCCTGGGAGCCACCCAAAGGCCACAAGCCAGCCAGTTAAATCTGATCGAAGCCTTGAGTGATCCTTGTAAGTAAAGCTTACCGCCTGCTTACAGCTGGGCATTTTTTGGCACTGTTACTGCTGTCTCTGCATCAAGCTTTAACCTCAAAGGTCTCAGGGTCTCAAGGGTACTTAGTGGATTTGAAGCCTCAAGGTTTAGAGAAGGTGCTTGGGCCTTGGGGGCCAGACCTTTCGATTTCGATTTGGCGGCATGGGTTTTGCTAGGGGCAAGTTGGGCCGGGCTGGTAGTCTCTGCGCCGGACTGCTTGCCGTGTCTTGCGAGGCCAATGAAGAAGCCAAGCGGGCAGAAGCCAGGCGAGTGCAGGAGTTCTTGTCATCCGCAGATGCTGCAAGGGCTGAGCAGGCAGCGGCGGAGGCTGCCAGGGCTGCAGCGAGGGCTGCAGAGCTCAGAGCGGCAGAGGAAGCCCTGGCTGCTGCCAGAGCTGCCGAAGACAGGCGAAACGTCAAAGCGGCGGAGGCCGCTGAGGCAGCTGCAAAGATGCAGGAGGAGCGCTTGAAGAGGGAGGCCGCCGAGGCTGCGGAGGCAGTTGCCAGGGTTGGAGAGGAGCGAAAGAAGAGGGAAGCCGTAGAGGCAGCCATGCAAGCTGCAAGGAATGAGGAGGAGCGAAAAAAGAGAGAAATTGCAGCAGCACTAGAAGCTTCTGTCAAGGTTGAAGCCGAGCGTCGGAAGAAGGAAGCCGCAGCAGCTGCAGAGGAGGCCGCACGCGAACAGAGGAAAGCGGCAGAGGCAGCAGAAGCTGCGGCCAGAACTGAGGAGGAGCGACGCAAGAAGGAAGCTGCGGAGTCAGCCGAGGCAGCTGCCAAAATTGAGGAGGAGCGACGGCAACAAGAAAGTCAACTGGTGGCAGAGCTCTCTCTCAGAGTTGACAGTGAGCGAAAAATTAGGGAAGCTGCAGAGGCTGAAGAGGCGGCTGCCCGGGAGAAGCGGGAAACGGCAGAGGCAGCAGAAGCTGCGGCCAGAGCTGAGGAGGAGCGGCAGAAGAAGGAAGCCGCAAAGGCGGCAGAGGCAGCTGCAAGGGCTGCGGAGGAACGGAAGCAACGAGATGTTCATATGGCAGAAGAATTTTCTCTCAGGGTTGAACGTGAGCAACGACGTCAGGAAGCGGCGGAAGCTGCAGAGGCGGCTGCACGGGAACAGCGGAAAGCGGCAGAAGCAGCAGAAGCTGCGGCCATGACTGAGGAGGAGAGACGAAAGAAGGAAGCTGCAGAGGCAGCCGAGGCAGCTGCTAGGATTGAGGAGGAGCGAAGGCAACGAGAAGTTGAATCTGCAGCAGACTTTTCTCTCAGAGTTGAGCAAGAGCGACACAGAAGAGAAGCCGCACAGGCTGCGGAGGCTGCCGCCATGCGAGAAGCAGAGATAAAGAACAGAGAAGCAGCAGAGGCGGCCGCAATCTGCTACGAAGAGAGGATGAAGCGGACAACAGACGAAGCCGCAGTTGCTGTAGTAGCAGAGGAGCGGCGATTGTTGATCTGACACTACTCAGAAGCCTATGACTAGCGGGAGTGCGAGGGAGCCCAGCTTCTACTTTCAGTTCTTTGCCTTGCTTGCGTCGTATAGCAAAACAGTCGCACCACCGTCATCGCTGTATCACTTGCTATTTTGCGTGTTTGTCGTCATGTACCTGTTTCCTATGTAGCTCTGTACCTTTGTCCTGGAATCTAGAACTTTTCAGGATAGTCAGGGCGTAAGGAAATTGGCTCTTCTTGACAGAGACATTGGGAATGACACCGCTTGCATAGGGTGGGACGGTGATGATGTTGGTGGGGAGCTGCTGTCTTGAGGATGAGCTATACCAGTAGTACCTGCTTATGAGAATATTGTCTCCCAGTGCTCCTGAACTTGTTCGCTATGCTGATCGCCCCCAGCATGCTTCATGATCATGACTAGTGACTAGTGTTATGCTGTGAGGTATACATACTGCACTGATATACTCATACTTACACTGCACAACTTTTGGTCGTCTGTATCCTGTACACGATGACTAAAAGCGTCCACGTATGTGTGTGGCTTGCTACCAGCAGTACAAGAAACAGATCTAGTGTGTTGGTACGACCAGTCTTGTGGTGCGTTGAAGCAGTCATCGCATCATTAAGGTAGACTACACAGCAGAGCTTTCTGCGCTACAGTCTAGCTGACTAACTGCTGAGTATCTGCTGCGAAGTCCCGGAGCAGGACTGCCAGACGAGGCGGACCACTGCAAGCACATGGGAGGTTGCCTTTAGCGTTACCATCGCTGATTAGGGCCCTGCTCCGAAATCTTCCATCAGACGTCGTCATGGCATTTTGCAAGGTTTAGGGTTACGACTCTGGGTGAGGAATGACTGGAGAGATGCGCAAGTGTAGCTGATATTTTCGATCAGGCCGCTGGCCCCGGCCCTGTACAGACAAGAGGCGTGGCCTTGGATTCGGGCTCTCGTCGAAGACGAGGGAAAGGTACTGGCCCATGGCAGTTCAGTGCTCTGGTGGCTTAGCGGCACGGGGAGCCTTGTATATATATATATATATA